AAGGCGATGTCACGTCGGACGCGTACTTTGAAACGTGCACCTCGTTGTTAGCAGACGACTTAATTATGCGGAGCCCAAGTTCGTCTGCTCCTTTTGCAGGGGTGGTGGTGACGTCAGAAGGCCGAGCTCTGATTCGCTCTACTTGAGGGACAGTGGGTAGGCCTCAATGCTAGCTGCCCTGAGGTCTACCCACTATCCTTCACATCAAAGCCAATCGGAGCTCGGCGTTCTGACGTCACCACAACCCTGCAAAAGATGCAGACGGACTTGCGCTCTGCATTGATTGGACAAAAGGAGTACAACGACGCTGCATTACTGATTTATGGTCCCTGACGGCTTCAATTCGCAGCGTGCGACCTGACGGGGAGGACATTTTGGCATATCCTAAACGCTCATTTTTCTTTCGTGATGGACAGATACGCAACGGAGGCTTTCCGCGGCAAGGGCTTGTGCGATTGCGTGCCTCCGACGTACTTTACGATTTCGCATTGAAAATTCTGTACATCTGCGATTCCGCCCACTTTTGGCTTCGTCGGGTACGTCAGGAATAAATATTGCATGTATGTCTGGCCGAGTACTCACGGGTGTTTTTGGAATACGGAGCGAAGAGCGAAGGAGAAGGTGTGGGTGTTGAAAGTACGATCCTGCCTGCATGTGTTCTTGCTTCCGTATAAAATCGTACTGCTCGTATTTTTTTTTTTTTCTACGCGCGCATGTTTCCTTGTCGTTCTGGCTAAAGTAACTGTAGGGTGTAACACAGTTGCGCTTTTTCCCGCTCTGACGAGTTCGTGTGAAAAGTTCTGGCTCAAAATTCCGCAGAAAAGCTGGGTGTTTATAGTCTGCAATGTTTGCTTCCCCCATCCCTAAACACACACAAAAAAAAAAAAAAAAAACATGTCCCTATTGCTATGTTTCGATCCCTTCGGGAACTGTTTGTCTCGAGTGTCACAGTCCCTACTGTGGACGCTGCGGGCATTTATCGCTTCTTATGAACTATGCGGGAAATATCCTGTGCTCGCAATGTACGGGGAGACAATGGCCCTTCCAGCAGTGAAATAAAGCCACACGCAATGCTAGGCTAAATGGCGTCGTTCCGCTCTTCACCGTAGAGCGCGTGGCGGCGCAATGTTCAGTTGCGATCGATACAGGGAGTTTTTTTCAAGCCATGTGGCTCGCTCAACCCCCTCCCCCCCCCCCTTTTTTTTTTCGCTCTCCCCATACGTGTTTTTTACTACGCTGCACTGAACTGCGTGGTGCCCTCTCCTTCATATTGATTGCAAATTTTCTCGCAGTGAAAACCACGGTGAGAGCGGGCTCGTTCAAAACAATGATTTTAACCGTAGACGGAGGAGACAACACAACTCGAATCTCTAAATGGAGATTTGTGTTATCTTGCCCCTTCTGTCTCCAATTTTAGCAAATTAACCGAAAAGACTCAATTGTATTTCTACTTTTTGAGAGCGCTACGCACGGGGATATCTCTTGTTCTGGGCTCGTTGTTTCACGAACTATTTCTATAATGTGCGTATAGTGGGCTACGTCGAATGGTGCACCTTCATTCCTAGCTTCAACATCATTAAGAGAACCGGCTATCGAAGTTTTTCCTCGGAAAGGGACTTTCTTCTATTTATTCGATTCGAGCCACTATTCGCACATTTCTGACTATATCGTAAACATGATATTCCCTTATTCTTCAAGCTTCTTGCGTGCATGCCGCCACGAAGATGTTTCCGTAGAACAACGCTACAGAAACAACTTCAGACACCTATTGGGGCTTCCTCATGCCGCAGTGAATAACAAACAAGATAATTAACTTCGAGTGCGCCACGTTCTTTGTGCTGTTTTCCATGGCCTTCCCGGCGCTGCTCACAGCAACAAAGTGGGCTGCAGGCTGCGGAAGTTAGGCGAGGCGATGATCCTTACTAATGAAGACGACGCACTCTCCTCCTCAGTCGCTGTCTCTGTTGGCATCAACGGCTTCTCGCGCTTCATATTACTAACTCAAAGCCAGTGCGTAAAATATATCTTTCTTTGCGCTGAAAATAGGTAAATTATGTGAATTGAAAAAAAAAAAAAAATAGTGCCTTTACAATCTGCTTTGTTCTTCGAAAACGGACGTGGAAATTCATTTCTGAGTGGCCATTTGGCGCTAACACAACACGCACTAAATAAAAAAAAAAAATATATAATTTTGAACACGTATTTTTTTTGTTTTTTCTTTTCTCTTTTGGCACAGTGCCCGGGAAGTAATATTCCCTTTTGAGCAGGGGTGTGGGAGTCACGTAGTGTTGTGTTATAACTTATTGCTAACCATTATAGTGCAAAGCTGGATTATTATCGCTTTCCCTTTCGCTGTGCATGCTTTGAATGACGCAGCGCCATTTGATTCGAACTTCTATGAAGCACTCTCGGCAAAGTCCGGCCAAGGTTTAAAATTGAATTCTTCTTGTTAAAAGTTTGTAGCGCTCTGCCATGAATGCGCTGATAATTTGTAGCAAAAATGCAGTTTTTTTTTTTTTTTTTTATACATATAAAACGCGGTGTTTTTTCGGTGTTTAGTTTTAAGAAACCGATGTATTCCAGCTATTGGTTTCGTGTAAACGCTAAAAAAAACAAAAAAAAAACACAACACTGTTGATTGTCGGGGGGACCGATAGGTATAAACAACTAACGATAAACTAATAGTTCAAATTGAATATTCAATTTGTATACACCCTTATATGTTATAACGCTGTTCGCTTACCATATGATGTGACAATGCTTCCAAATGACAAACTATGAATCCGAACACGGGACAAAATCCGGGTGCTAAACGAAGTTTTTTTTTTGTTGTTTTTTGCGATTTTTGTTTTTTGCGACGGCAAAATGTGAAAGTATTCTCAACCAAAATGTTTCCGCCATGGGGAAGGGAAGTTGCTCTTCTTGCACAAGATTCAACCGATAATGACATCCGGTGTAGATTCAAACAAGATTGTTCAGCTCTGGCGTGAGTAGAACAAAGACATTGTAGCCATCATGGTGACCGACTAACTGACCAGACACTACCTTCCAAGTTCAGTTATTTCACTGATTCGGGTTTGACTGGGTGCTTGATTGCAGGTTAAATTATGCGTCGAACGAACGTCTAAAAAGGAAGGTTATCGAGGAAAAATAAATTCCAGAAGTGTGCATTAGGTTAAATACGCAAAAAAAAAAACCACAGGGACAAAGAAAGAAGCACACAGGACGAGGCGCATGTCTTTGTCCTTGTGTTTTTCGGCGTATTTATCACCATGCATAAGTACCAACTAGCCCAACTCGCAGTGTTAATTCAAAAGACTGGTTTTTCGGTTATATCCGATTTTGTGTTCTTGGCACTGGTAGATGTTTATAGCTCCTTTAAAGATTAACCCTCAATTCTGCGGCCTTTATTTGTCATATAGTCGTGTATGTCCTGATAAACGAAAAAAAAAAAATGTTGCAGGCGTGCATTACATACAGTATAAAAAAGATGAACTTAAAAACAGAATATAAACAATATCAGCATTATTTTGCTTGTCCCATGAAATGAAGAACAGAGTGATTGGGAATTTGCAATCATTATAATAACATTGAACAATGTTCCAAGTTAAAAAAATGAAGAAAATTAGCCCTGTTTATCATTGCATAGAAATCTTAGAAAAATTTCTTAAGGTTCTACCTTGCTTCTACATGATAAAACTGTCCAGGATAGAGTTTCAGTAGGACGTTCCGATACCCCCGATCGGTACCTGATAACCGTACCTGATAACGATACAGTGCACGCGCAAAGGCACCAGCGGAGTATCCGGGTATCGTTATCAGAGTCATGGGAGCGATCTACTAAAGCTCCGAAATAAAGAAAACTGAGATCTGAATTATTGAGGTTCGTACCCCTGAAATCAGGTGTCGGCTTGCTAGGACAGCGTCTCAGCTGAGACGGGGTGAAAGAAAGCTCTGTAAAGGCTGGGGTGCGCGAGCGTCTTGAGTTGCGGTTTGAGTCCTGCTCAGCTCGTGCGCTGGCTTCCGCAGTGTTTTCTTTGCCCCAGTCTCAGCTGAGACGCTGTTTCTAGCTAGTCGGCAAAGGAAAGCTTTATATTCTCAAACTTTTCCGTGCATACGCAGGGATGCATGTTGGTTTGTGAAATTCTTTAATCTTGTTTATTTGTGTACATGCCCATGTATACAGAGAAAGAAACCCCACCTATTTCAAAAGTTGTCAGAATAATAGCGAAACCATGATCTGAAAAAAGTTGAATTTATCCTGTAGGTAAATGCTCTCTAGTAAACCTTTAAAAAGAAAAAGATTTTTTTTAAGTCTGTCTGAAACACACGCGTGTTAAAAACATTAATTTTACGCGAATTTTTTTTTTTTTTTTTTTTTTTTTTTTTTTTTTTTTTTTTTTTACAGCAATATTGACGGCGCGAGACGCCATTTAGTCGGTAGTCACTGCCTTTCCACTTGTTTTTTCTCTCGGCATTTCGGGAGCGTGGAGGAGAGCTGAATCGGCTTCACCTTCACCATGAGGGGAAAAAGTGAAAGACCATCTCGTTCAGGTCGAAAGAGCGAGTGACCATTCCGTGACGTCATGGACTTTGCGTGCATAATTTCAAATAAATCTCTCGCCGTCAGTATTGCTCTAATTTTTTTTTTTCGCGCAATTTTTTTTTTTTTTTTTTTGACACGCGTGTTCCAGTTAGACTGTTTAAAAAAGTATTTTTTTCCTTTTCAAGGGCTTTTTAATTGGATATCTAATTTTTATAATCATTAGAAGAGAATGTGATGATGACCTGCTATTCCTTGAAAGTATCCATTCAAGGGATGTAAATTCAAAGCATTGGTGTGAAAGGATTAGTGCATTATAATTTTACTGCATGCACTGCATGTTGAGGAATATTAGGGTCATTTCTAATACACAGATTTGTTTTGCCTTTTATGAACCCATGAGTGGCACATACATCCTGATTAAAAATATTCTTTGTTCTTTTTTGTGTGTTTACAGGTTGCATCGTGCTTGAAGTACAATGATTCATCAAGGATGGGACCTCTGTATTCCAGCCTTGGGAATATCTACTAATCACAACCTAGTCTTGGGCCATCTCTAAAGTCAACTTCACAAGTCACACTTCAGCATGGCTTTTCCATCATCCTCCAGCTTTAGACATTTCCTGTGAGTGCTCACATTTAGATTTCAGACAGGCATCACCTAGTATGCTGAGGAAAGCAAGGTCACATATATCTTCATTGTTCTGTTCGTTTAAGCAAAAATTATGACATACATTGAATGATACTGCTGGGAGACAAAAAGAAGCCTTTAAGTGTTCCTGCGAAAAGAAAATTCTTTTTTTATTATTTAGTTTGCCTGTGTAAATGTATATACCATTATCACTTTGCAACACTTGTAATATTAATTGTTTTGTAAATTTTGCCGTTGGGCTGACGAGAGTGTAAAATAGCAGATTTTTCAAAGTAGGTAATGTAATGTCCACAAATGAGTATGATATTACGCTAATTCAGTATTACAAATTGTACATATTTTAGAGCGCAGCTCTTAGGCGCCCGTTTCCCGATTGAGCGGCATCGGCGTAACCGCCCATTGCATTATGAGAAGTTTCCCCACTAAAGTTGATGGGGAAATTTTTACGCTAAATTTTACGGGGAAATTTTTATGCTAAATCTTACGAAAAAATTTTTCCGCTAAATTTAGCATAAATATTTTCCCGCTAAATTTAGCGGAGAACTTTTCCCGCAAAATTTAGCGGGAAAATTTCCCTCCCAAATTTAGCGGAGATATTGACGTCACGTGACCTCAACACCAATTAAGTTTCCACACTAAATTTAGTGGGAAAATCTTCGCTAATTTTCTCGCTAAATTTAGCGGGAATATTTCCCCACTAAATTTAGCCGGGAAATGTTTGCTAAATTCCGCGGGGAATTTAGCGAAAATTTACTGCTAAATAGGAGGGGAGCAGGAGAGGAGGAGGGAAGGGGGAGGAGGGGCATACCCTTCTCTCCCTTCCCTCATCTCCTCCTCCTCAAGAGCTGCACTCTAATTCGGCATTAAAGAGAATTGTAAACGTTTCTTTTTATTTTTTCTTCAGATACTGGAGCTTTATTTTAGTTGTGGGATTTCCTGCCATCTTCAGCTTGGATGATGGACCAAATGTTTGTACAAAGCAAGAAACGTGAGTTTTCAAGTTCCTGTTATGTTGCTTGCTAAAATGCTGCGATTCAACACATACAAAGAACCTGATGAACGATGGGAAGAAAAATAAGAGGTGGGGCTTTATGTATGCCAGTAGGACATGGGCTCATAGCAGTTTTTTTACCATGAACAAGTTTTACCCATAAAAGCATTAACAGGCTACTTCATAAGTTAGTCTGTAGAAACCTTTTGATGAAATAAATTATTCTGGAATGCAGCTGCTGTCACTGCTCCCTAATAATTTTTGACCAGCATCATGAAAGCTCGAGTATAAGGTTTTTCATAGCTTTCTATTGTGTAAGATTTGACGGAGGGTTGGGAAGGGGGGGGGGGGGGGGGGGTCTTGAAAATTGGGTTTTGTCTTTAAAATAAAGATTTAAAGGAAAATTTGACGATTTTGCTTTCACTGCAAATAACCATATTTCACGGTGATTTCATTTTTGAGAATTTTGGTAATAGTAAACAATCAGTAATATTCCTCACCAAAATATATCTGGTATTTATGGGGCTCAGTCGCCAGTTTAATTCCTATTGCAAACTTTAGTTTGCAATCGGAAAAAGTAATAGCCTGCGAAAGCAGGATTATGAACTTAGTCCTCATTTTTTAATCAAATAGTCAATAAATTTATATAATCAAAGTTGGTGATTTAAAGGTAAAACGTTGCCACTTCACAGATAAAATATGATTGATAGATAATTATATGGGCCTGGCTTTAATCACGAATTGTTTCCATATAAATTGTAGTGTAGTGCATGTTTTGCTACTTTTGTAGTGACTTGTAAGACTTAAATTTGCGGTCCTTAGGAAAAGCTGGGTTTAGCAGATTGTTAGTAAAACAAGCTCAGAGTGCTAATTTCCAAAAAAATCAGTTTCCAAATATAAAGAGTCATAACCATAATATATGGTGTTTGCTGTGATGTCAAATACATCCTATTCTGATATCAATTTAATATTTTTTGATCCAATGCAGGTATCTCACCACAGTAAGAGTATCCTACAACAAGCCATACCAAATACGAACATACACTTGGTGCTTTGCGTTTCCACCACGATGCTCGAAGTACAGGCAAGTCCACTTAACAAACTGTTCAATATATGAAATGTGCATGCTTGGTGTCATTGGCCAATGTTGTGCATGACAAGGTAACTAAACTGTTACATAATTTTCCAGGATTTCCTACACAGTCGCTTACAAGACGGAGGTTAAAGAAAGCACACGAACAGTGAAGGTGTGCTGCAAAGGTTTTGTGGAGACGGCTGATGGCTCCAAATGTTTGCGTACGTTCGACCCTCCTGCGATTTTCTGGTTTCAGATATTTTGTTGCAACCATTCAGGAAGGATTTGTGCATTGGCCGCTCTTTCTAATCTGTCTATTTTGTCATCAATGTCTCGTCTTCATATCTTTTACATGCAGCACTGTGCAACAATCCATGCATCCATGGAACCTGCTCGAGTCCAGAAACATGTGAATGCCAGCCAGGTTGGGGAGGGCCAACATGCAACTTTTGTAAGTGTTTCTCGCCACACCCATTCATTGTTCCCATACATTTTCAGTGGATGATTCTAGGATAGTAACGTTATATTGTGAGTACCCACAAGGATCATGATCGCCTGTCTTTTATCTCCTTCATGCAAACACAGTGATATACAGTAAGTGACTGCCGGTTCTCCTGTTTGAGAAGGGGTGTAGATGTTTCCAAGTGTTCTTGGCACACTTAGAATGCTTCAGAAAGGGGACCCATCCAGCGCTAACTTCTTTTCTGCTTCTTTGTATTGCAGCCTGCCCAGATGGCAAATGGGGGAAGTCCTGCCACAGAGACTGCCCCTGCAAGAATGGCGCTAGGTGCGACCCTGTGAGCGGGGCCTGCTCATGCAAGCCAGGTGAACAGAATATCTCTCTCTGCCTCATATTCAATGTCATGCTCCATGTCACCCTGAAGGTTCTGGCTGTCAGCCATTGCAAACCCTGTTTTTCATTCTAACTTTCTGCAAATCAGTAGTCACGTATCTGTGTTACTGTAAGTCCTCAGCATGGTGGAACTTGCTACTGTCTTGCGTCCATATCGAAAGCAACTCACCTGTAGTCTTTCATGAGTCATTTTGCCTTACCCTTCATCCAATAATTATAGGACATCTATCTTGAGGTTGAGATATGCATGACCCCACCTGCTGAGCTGCCAGTAAGCAACAGAAAGCAATGCTATGATCTGATGTCATGAAGTGTCTCTATTGCATGTTTCATCTGAGATACTCTCACATTAATTTGTGCAGGTGAATCATCGCTCTATCTTTTACCAGGGGGGGCTCCATTTTTTCAAATTTACTCAAAGGTCCTTTTTCGCATTCTCATCGTCTCTGCCAGCCAGCATGATCAGTCACAAAAGTATCAGCATCTACCGTAAAATACTGCGGAAGCACTCACTTCATTCAAGCTCCCACTATTAACATGTTCCAAATTTGGGAATTGTGCAAATTATATGTTAAGCACCCGATTTGACCAGACAAGCGCCCATGTCTAGATTAATCCAGTTTTCAGTGAAAGTAGAGTGGGCACTCCCCTGGTATTTTATAGTAGTGTTTGATTCTTTCCAATACTGGCAGTTATGGGGGATTAATACAAGTCAATGGCCAATGAAGTGGCTGGCAGCAAAAATGGTACTGAAAGTAACACCAGGACCACTTTTTGTTTAAACAACAGTAAACGAATGAATCTCAGATTGTTCATTATCTCTGTTGCTGTCATCATGAGACTCACTAATACAAAGAATTATGCTAATAAACAATTCTTCCAGATGGTAGAATGGGTTTACCATCGCGGCCACGGACGACTTCATAGAACTGTACAGGGGTTTAGTGAAACTGCCCTATTCCCAATGTTATATACCAATACTGTATGGTTTACAGTACCTTTTAGCTAGAAATGTTGTTTTATATATATATATATATATATATATATTCATTCATTCATTCATTCATTCATTCATTCAGGGGTTCTCAAACTGGGTTCCGGGGAACACAGTGGTTCCACGAGCTGATCTCATGGGTTCCACAAGCACCCAAATTGCAACCCCCCCCCCATGCCGCAGGCTGCGCGGCAGGACCATGCAAAGCGCCTTCATCTCACTTTGTGCTGACATCTTGATTGATATGGTGGGGATATATATGGGAAGCGACACAAGCAAAATTGCCTACCATTGTGCATCTGTTACCTCTCGGTCGGCAAATATGGAGGGGTCCTGGGGTTCCGTGAGACCAAAAAGTTTGAGAACCCCTTCATTCATCCATTCATTCATTTAGCCTAGCCTATAATTGCAATAGTGACTTGGGTTTCTCAGCTTGAAATTCTGAATATCACAAATCATATTTTGGGGAGTGATCATCTTGGGGCGTGTTAACTTTCTGATAATAAGTAATTAATCTGGGGAATGTTATTTTTTCTCGCACAGGTTGGCAGGGTATTGACTGTAATGAACCTTGTGATTCTGGGAAGTATGGCTACGAATGCGGGCAGGCATGCCGCTGTCTCAACGGAGCTCTTTGTGACCACATCTCGGGAGGTTGCACCTGTGCCCCTGGCTACCGTGGGCCATTGTAAGTCTTTTTTCTCTTCTTACCCCTTTTGATTAATTGGTCCATCGAGATATTCCCACAGAAACATGATTTATGATGATTTCTCATGCATATACTTCTGGAGTACTAATAGGATAACAGTTTGTGCTAAAAATATGGCCAAACACAAATAAAAGCAAAGAAAAAGCATTAAAACTTGGGTTTGGGCTAGTTGGTCCATTACTGAATAAAAGGTTAAAAAGCACGAACAAACGAGGACAATAAAGAAACACGGACGACAGGACAGGTGCTTCACTCTCAACTGGTTGAGAGTGAAGCGCCTGTCACTCTCAACTTCACTCTCAACTGGTTGAGAGTGAAGTGCCTGTCCTGTCGTCCGTGTTTCTTTATTGTCCTCGTTTGTTCGCGCTTTTTAACCTTTTATTCAAAGAAAAAGCAGCAAGTTGTGACATGAACACTCCAGCCTACCAGTTTCACCATGCCTTGAAGAAAATTATGAGCTTGATTGCTGGTGCAGATCATGTGGGTAGTGATGCCAGAAAAGTCCCAAGAATTTGTTTTTCTTGAAATGACAATGTTGAAATTTACAACTCTCTTTTTTCTGCTCTGCCAAGTTTCCAATTTTGGGGGTAAACACTTGAGGCATAATATCAGTTTATAATTTCAATGCAGGCTGAATTTGCCTTGAAATTAATGCTAAAACAATGCTTTCTGAAAAAAAAAGAGAAAAGAAATATTTCAAATTATTTGCAGGAGGGCTATCTCAGTATCTAAGGCAGCTAGAAACATATATATATATATATATATATATATATATATATATATATATATATATATATATATTTTTTTTTTTTTTTTTTAACATGTAGTTAAATGTTCAAAGCATACAATGCAGAGAGTAAATTCTTCAATATTGGCCTAGAAATCTTTTAATTGATCTATGGTTTTATAACTTAGTAGCCGCACATTGAATAGTGAGATTTGATGTGTCATAAAATCATTAATAATTGTTCAGTGTAAAAAGTACTTTCAATATTGTATTTATATTTACCGTAAAATACCGCAGAAGCGCCCACTTCGTTCAAGTGCCCGCTGTTAGCATTTCTTAAATTTGGGAATTCTGCAAATTATATGTTAACCACTCGATTTGACCGGACAAGCACTGTCACAGGTTCAGAAAATTAACAATAAAAGATCCAAATGATCCCCATGCAAACAAAATTTATAATTTTGTTAGGACCGCTGACCGGATGATAGGTCCACGCCCTGGTGGACGGACTCACTGTGAGGGGCGAGGAACGAGACGGAGACGTTGCGTGAAAATAACGAAGGATTTACTTGAATCCCGTTCAAGACTCAATGCATACACCAAACGCAAACAAAAATAATAATCACACGCTAACTCTGCCCTTCTCGCGCGCAGCGCTTTTACACATAGTGAAATTCAAGTAAAAAAACAAAAAAATCACACCGCTTTTCTTAGCGCACAGGCACTACTCACAAAACAAAACAAAAAAAAATAACCGGCAGAGCAGCGGTTTAAAGGCTTTGTCCACACTGGACAGTACACAAGAACAAACAAACAAAAAAAAATGTATAACACAATAATGACTCTAAATGCTATACAATTCTACTAAAGTGAGTGAGCGAACCTGGGTCCGGAGAGTGGTGTGGGTGACGCGGGCCCGTTGCGGCGCTGGTCGAAACGGGGAAGTCTGTGCGTGCTTGGATGCTCGGTGAGATGCTCCTCGGCACCACACTCACCCACGAGCACACACACTTGGGGGGACCTGCAGAGCCGCTCCGAGCTCTTCCCGCGTTCCCCCTTCCGCCGCACCCGCTGTCGCTCCCAACTTTCGCGTCGTGTCCACCCACCGGTCTAGTCTTCGCATACACTGCCTTGACTCGGCTCGGAATCAAGCCGAGGTCCTCACTTTCCCAAATTCAAGCGGCAGACACTACTCTCCCTTGCCCAAAAAAATAATTGTTTCTCTGCTGTGGCAACAACAAAAATACATAAAAAAAACACACGTCACACTGGCAAGCCCCGCAGTGAGCCTACCCCCAGCGAACCATAAAGCGCACCCTCACTTGGACATCTGGAAGCTATCCCCAACATTCCGGGAAGCGAGTCCGCCCATCGCCTCCAACTAACAACCCCGCGAGAAACGTCTTCGGGACGAGGAAGGGCCAAGGAGCCATAAAACAGGAAGCGGGCGAGACCCGAACTCTCCCGCTCAACCGACGAGGGGGCCAGAGGCCATAAAACAAAAAGTGGACGGGGCCCGAACCCTGCCGCTCAACGCGCGGGGCAAGGGAGCGTTGGACGGCTGGATGCGCTCCCTCGCAAAAACTTTAACAAAACATTTAAAAAAAAATAGTCGAATTCTGTGACAAGCACCCACGTCTAGATTAACCTGGTTTTCAGTGAAAGTGGGGTGGGCGCTCCCTCGGTATTTTATGGTAGTTGTATCTAGCCATGTGTCGGACACAATTTCGTGCTCTCTTGAGGTGGGCAACTTTTCTTTATCTTGAGGATTAATGTATTGATGAAAATTATGACTGGATACATGAAATAAGCACAAAGAACTGAGCGTGTGCAGTTTCATTGGGTTTAGCCAAAAGCTAAGCAAAAAATGACCGCATCTCCATGTGGTGAATGATGTTGATTGGGGCGAAGCTCTGGTGGTGCTGATGACGTTCGTTTTCATTCATGTCAGAAAGAGAATGTGTGGCATGGAACGTAGTTATATTTGCATTTGAGCATTTGACCGCAGCGCCCTCTCGTCTATGAACGTTGAGCCAATGCATGCAAAGTTTATTGCGATTATATACGCATTTGACAGCAGAGCCCTCTCCTGTATAGACGTCGAGCGGCTACATGCAACGTTTCATCCATGACATCCCCAGCTCTTGAGTTACTACCACATTTCAGAGCCCCCTACTGGTCCTGCAGTCGTGGCAGAGTGGTTAAGGCGATAGACTAGAAATCCATTAGGGTCTCCCCGCACAGGTTTGAATCCTGTCGACTGCGCAAACATTTTTTCTTTTTCTAAGAAGACAGATGGGATGGCAATCGATGTAAGCACGGACGCCGGACGGACAAGGCTAGACCCTAACGAGCTTCGCCCCTAAAAAACTTTCAGCCTTTCCAATCTAATGAAGAAGGAAGAGCAGCGGGGCTGGTACTATGTGCCGCCATATGAGCAACAGCGGCAACCAGACAACCGGCAAGCCGGATGTCTGGTTGCCACTGTCGCTCATAGGCGGCGGTAGCTGTCCAGAGAGTTGTGTCAAGATTTATTTGTTCACGGACATGAAACTGGGGAAACTAGCCCTTAACAGTTCCACTGTAAAAACACTTTCAAGACCAGAACTCCCCCTTAGGTGGCAAACTTGACTGTGCTAGGCTATGGAGTCTACTCAGCACCAGCAGAGCAGTTCCGTGATCGAGATTAGTTCAAAGGAGGTGTGATTTCACTAATATCCTTACGATGTTTCAACTAATCTTCCCACTGAATCACGAAATAATTGTAACATCTGGATTTTAGAGACAGATAAAGGACAGCTAAGTTTCTGTGTAGCATTACTTTTTTCCTTTTTTTTTTTTTTATGAAGGCAAGTTGGTAATTTTTAATGAACTTAACTTGGTGTTACACTGTCTTATTTCAGGTGCCACGAGCTCTGTCCAAAAGGCACTCACGGTGACCAGTGCTCGAGCAAGTGTGGTTGCCAGAACGGTGGGACCTGCAATCCCATTAATGGCAACTGCTTCTGCCCTGAGGGATGGACCGTAAGTGCGCACTGCAACATGTTAATGTACAACCTCTCCTTGTTTGCTTTTGGTGCATTGGGCTCTACATATTGTTGGCCAGTACAGCCTTTTCTCAAAGGAAGAAACAACATGTGTGAGGAGCTTGGGCGAATTCTTCCGGCTTTATTGGGGAAGCATAATATTCTCTCGGAAGACTAGTTGCGCGCATTTGGTTGCACACACTTTACGCACCAGGATTTGCTAAATGTTAAGAAATGATTGGTGAGGGGAACGTGTGAGTCGCTCTAGAACTCACCTGCTTAAGTTGACCCTGCATTTCTGTTCAAAAATCATTTATTTCTCTGGATTTAGAAAATTGGAAGCTTCACGTGGTAATCGCATAGTTACTGACTCACTGACTCATTGGTATCTGTCTCTCAGGGTGCTGTTTGTGCAAATCCATGCCCCGCTGGCTTCTACGGAACCAACTGCAGCCAACGCTGCCGATGCTACAATGGCGCCCTCTGTGACCACCTGACTGGCACGTGCATCTGCAGCCCGGGCTACGTCGGAGAGCGCTGCCAGGATGAGTGTCCAGTCGGAACTTACGGCCTGAACTGCAGCAAGGTGATCTTGCTCTTTTAGTCCTCACTTATAATGCAGAGATTTCACCTGACAAGCATATGGTAAACATTACCAGAAGTCAAGAGGCCTGAGAACCTGCAATTGGTATTTTATAAAACGGGCTCTTGGATTTTTTCAGGGTGTCACTGAGGAAGCAAGTTCCTTAGCATAATGTTGACGGCTGTTTCAGGGTTGTTATGGTGATACCTTATCAAAAACATTGCTCCAGCCAATTGCACCTGTTTCCTTTTGTTGAGGAACATAAAGAAAGCAGATAATGCTGATGGGGAATTTTTTATCCATCCTATCTAAGCAGTCTATCCATCTGAAATGTCTGCTAGAAGTATTCAGTACTTGTCATTCTGGTGGGTCAAGGTCCTTTTTGTTTTAGGAATTGGCTGCAATTAGCTGGTCCTTTGTGTAACCCATGAGCACAGTTTACCTGGCTAGTGCTGAAAAAGTGATTACTAATTTGAGTTATGTTACATTGACTGTACTTGGTTTTCTCCAGATGCCATAGTTAAGTTCATTGCTCACAATGCTTGCGCTGTGAGAGCTCCCAGTATATTTTAATTTTTTCAAGAATAAAAATCTCTCATTTGAAGAATTGAGGTAGCCTCGTCGGTATTTGCCCAGCAGCAACGGATTCAGTTGTGGCTGTCAGGAGATACCACACCATCTACTATATACGCTTGATTGCTTTGAATATCAGCTGAGACCCGGTCTTTCTTAACGCTACGGCAGTGACTCAGGAATACTTGTATGTTCAGTCTGTTGCAACAAATGCCTTGAAACACCCTATTACAGAAATGTGACTGTGACAACGGTGCAAGCTGCAACGTTTCGAATGGACAGTGCATCTGCCTTCCTGGCTTTACAGGACCTCGATGTGAGACAAGAGGTGAGCTAATGTTTTCTTCTAGTTTGAACACATTCAGATTAATCTTGCCAAAATCATATGAAGCTGAAAAAAGTTGGAATTAAACAGGCCCCAGTTTTTACCTTGTACTTTTCTTTGGGCAGCATGCCATGCTTGTCTGTTTGCTTTCAGAGACAATTTGTGAGCTCAGAACAACCATTTTCTCTTTGGTTTCAGCCTGCACGGACGACTATTATGGTCCAGAGTGTGACCAGGTCTGCCAATGTAGCAAGGAAAACACACTTCTGTAAGTGCTCTTGAGTCACCTGCCATATGCACGGGCAAAGATTTCCCCTCTGACCTGTTCTTCGATTTCCAGGTGTCACCCCTGGACTGGCACGTGCAAGTGCAAGCCCGGCTGGAATGGAGAGACCTGTGTCCGGCCCTGTCCACCGCTGCTGTATGGCCCGGACTGCGCTTTGACGTGCAGCTGCGAAAACGACGGAACCTGCGATCCAGTCGATGGAATGTGCATCTGTGAGCCCGGATATGTTGGTCCCAAGTATGCATCGTTACGCTCTCTACATGAAAATTTTCTTTCTGCGCACCTATTTAAAAACTACTACTCGGTGTAACAGCAAATATCTCTGCAATCTCATTAACACGTTCTGTGAAGCAGTGCACCCTGTGCGAGCACCAAGCTCTGCAATCTACCTAGGGTATATGGGTGCGTACTCAACCCAAGCCACTTTTTAGAACTAAGGATCTGCATCTGTTGCTTCTTAATGCCACGTACAACGTTAAGCGGGAGTCAGACACTGCCCTGCCGGTGATGGAGAATGTGCAAAGTATGTTTAAATTCACATCAGACATAAGATTCCGTAAAAGAAAATAAGATTATAGTATGTTTTTTTTTTTAGTGTTCTTGTCTTTTATAACCCTTTGTTTTGTTTTCCCCTTTTGCAGCTGCAAGGAGAAGTGCCCTGTTGGACGGTTTGGCACCAATTGCACCCAGAACTGCAGCTGTGAAAATGGAGGAGTCTGCTCCCACGTGAATGGGTACTGCAGCTGTCCTCCTGGTGGGTGGCACTCTTTATTACTATGTAGTGCTGTTTATTCATCACTGTTTTGTGTAGTGTCATTGATACATAATTGTTACTATAAATTATTCTAAACTAAATTGTTCCAACCATGGCACCAAAAATAACTTGATAATTTTTGGACCACTTAAAAGGGCACTGAACTTCCAAAAAAACTTGTGACATACATTACATGTATGTCACAAAATGAAGTTTCCCGTAAAAAGGGTTTTTCCAGTGCAATTTTTTTGTCGTGAGACAGATTTTGACTTGAGAGCAATTTTGAAACGTGCTACTATTTAGGCACGCCGACCCGCAATAGAAGAATATTCCAGAATCACTTCTAAGGACGTCAAGCTTCGCCCTCCAAAAATTTGTAATTGCCTGGATTGCACACATCAGAAAGTCTGCGTTTTGTGGCATCTCTAACTAAAAGCAGCATTATCTTGTCCCCCGAAATTCACACAAAAAGGTGTTTTTCTTTTTTTTTTATGATACAATAATCTGTGACTTTCTCCTACAATGCTGCACATAACTCTTGAGATAGAGTATAGTCAGGTTTGAAATTAGAAGAAAAAAAACATACTAATGTTTCGTGGCGTATATCTGTGTGTAGAGTCAGTATTTTTCTAAGTGTACGCTGCTTGACACTGTTAATGCAAGGCAGTGCACTATTTTAAATTTTTTTCAGATTGATCATTGCCAGGCATTGGTCTTTATTGCCTAATGTTAGTGCCCCGAAGGCGGACTTTCTACGCCGTAATATGTCTTAGTGGCAGCAGTCTAGTCCCAAGCAAAAAAATCGTGGAAAATTTAGGATAGCTTGTTTGGGCTAACAGTACATCCAGTGTACAGCATGAAATCAGAGTGTAACATTTGTAACTTCAAGCAACAAAAGTGTTCCCTCTTGTAAAGTTTCGACACCTTCATGGTTCAGTTGTTTCTGGGTCTTTTTGTTACATCTTCACTTCAGGGGAGACACAGGTATTTGGTGTGCTAAAACAATCCCTGAAAAATTTTTTTTTATCGGAATGGTGATTTTGAAATTTAGGGCTATTTTTCTTTTGATCTGTCAAGTTCCTTATATTGTAGGTCCATATTTGAGCCATAATATTTGTTTATAATATTTATGCAGGCTAAAATTGCATTGGGCTGACACTAAAGCTTCACCTTACCGAAAACACAAATTTCAGACGTGTTGCATATTTTCAGGAGGGATATCTCAGCACCTAGGGGAGATAAAAATATTACCTTTGCAGCATGTAGATCAATGCACAAGGAATGCAATGTTGGGAGCGAATTCTTGAATATGGATCTAGAAAACTGTTCAACTTTAATATTGTCTTATTGCTTGGTAGCCACATATTGGACCCTGAACTTCGATTTGTTGTAAAGTCATTAATAATAGTTTGGTCTGATAAATGCTTCCAACATTGTATTTTTCACACTGTATCTAGCCACATAGGCAACATATTATTTTCGTTGGGCAGTTTTTTTGTTTTTTTTTCGTCTTCACCCAAAGAAGGGTAAGTTACCTTGAGCACAAATTACTTGACTGAAAAAATGACCAGATATTTTATACCGACACAAAAAATTAACAAGCTTGTGCAGTTTTTTGGGATTAGGTATAAAAATAAGGGGAAAAGCTCCAATACCAATGTTTCCCCTTAACCATGTTCATAAGTGTCCATTATTGTTGATGATGCCCTGATTATATGTGCTTTCTTGTAGGCTTTTCCAAGTCCCGTTGCGATGAACTTTGCCCGGTTGGTCTCTATGGGCCCGGTTGCCAGATAAAGTGCAAATGTAGGAATGGGGCCGGGTGCGATCCTGTCAGTGGCGATTGCACCTGCCCGCCCGGGTTCATGGGCAAACTCTGTGAATCCAAGTGCGATGTAAGTACCTTAATTGGTTCGCTTCACATTTTGACAGGGCAAGAACCTTGAGTCTTCCAAAGAAGCAAAGTGCTAGTGCTGCAATTTCTTTTTTGCTTTTTTGTTTTTTATTCTTGCATTTTATTCAACAGCATGGAAGATTTGGAACTCAGTGCGAGAAAAAATGCAAGTGCGACTGGGAACACTCACTTGGATGTGACCATGTCTCTGGAAGCTGCATCTGTGCACCTGGGTTTAAAGGTCAGTGATGCGCACCTGTGGTCACATTCCATGAATTTGATGAAGAGTACATATTTGATAAAGAGTACATATCTTACCTTTCCTTTCTCTAGGTGTGTCGTGTGATAGTCAGTGTCAGCGAGGTCAGTGGGGTTCCTCATGTGAAAACACCTGCGACTGCAAGAACAATTCCTCCTGTGACCCAGAAACGGGAGTCTGCATTTGCGAAAGGGGATGGATGGGCAAGGACTGCAATCAGCGTAAGTGTGCTCGTGCACATCAGCACAGGTCTGCTGGTTTGTTTGTTCTGATGTGTGTAACCCCTGAGTCTTGGTTGCTACAAGCATGCTTTTGCTGATAAGTATTTCTAATTGACATTGAAGTGATGTTTGTGAAGCAACTTGGTAAATTTTGATGCCATGTTAACATTTGGCAGGAGTTCTATCTGGTTATCAGATTTTTAAGAGACCTGAGCATCACAGTGATCCTAAAAAATTTGATGAGGAAAGTGGCCTACATTGTTTCACTTGTTTGATAAAACAAATTATTCTTCCAAGGAACGGACACAAGTAATTGACAATTATTTTAAAGCCATTGAAATGTGGCCATAAATTGACACTCAATTGATTTGTTCAATCTTTTTGCTGGGACATTACTGTATATCATACATTTATTGCAAGAACCTTGTTGCTTACAGAAGCTTTTCTTTTTTTTTATGTTGCAGCATGTCCGGCCGGATACTTTGGCCAAAATTGTTCTGAAGTGTGTACTGACTGCATGCATGCGGATGGCCCATGTGACCATATCACAGGAAAGTGCCGCTGTAGGTCTGGCTACATGGGTCTCAGCTGCAGTGAATGTAAGTAAATGGCATTGGGTGATCATTATTTTAGCTTAAATGTATTCGTATGTCGGCATGCATGAATGTTACTTTTATATATATGCTAGGATCAGTATATTCCAACACAATTCTTATGAAAAAATGCCTGTGATGTTGTTTTCCCTTATACACATCATTTCAGGATTTTAACACATGCATGATTAATGCACCTTGTTCTATAAACTCACTTTTATTGGGAAAAGCTTTTTGTTTTAACGGGATAAATATGTGAAGACCTACATATCAGACCCTCTTTTAGAGCACAGCTCTTAGGCGCCGGTTTCCGGCTTGAGCGTCGTCGCCGTCACCATATGCATAACCGCACGTTGCATTATGGGACGTTTCCCATAATGCCTCCCTCGTGACATCACGTGTGACGTCACGAGGGAGAAGAAGAGAATATTTTCCGCGAAATGTAGCAGAAAAAATTCCCCGCTAGATGTAAGAGAAACATTTTCCCGTTAAATTTAGTGGAAAAATTCTCTCGCTAAATTTAGCAGGAAATATTCCCCACTAAATTCAGCGGAAAAAATTCCCCGCTAAGTTTAGCGGAAAAAATTTGCCTCTAAATTTAGCAGAAAAATTTCCCCGCTAAATCTAGTAGACAAATTTCCCCGATAAAATTAGCGGAAAAATTTCCCACTAAATATAACGGGGAATATTTTCCGCTGGTTTTAGCGGGGAAATTTTTCCGCTAAATGGGAGGGGAGCAGGAGGGGGGGAGGGGAGGAGAGAAGAGGAGGGCCATACCCTCCTTTCCGTACCCTCCCCTCCTCCTCCTTAAGAGCTGCACTCCAATTCGGCATTACAGGGAGCTGTAAACGTCTTTCATTTTTTACTTCAACGTTAAACACATACATAACCATCTTTTAATGTAGGAGTTGAAGAGTTTACTGTCACTTTTCTATTGCTTCTGAAACACCTAGGGCTAATCAAAGAATACTTTCTTTATCCCTTTAAAGTTATTCGCAAAGGTTTTTAGCTTCATTCTCCTGGTTATGAAATGGTGTTGCTGAAACGGAAAAGATTACAGTATTTAGAGCTACCCACAGCAATAAGGTAATTGGTCAAGATCCAATTTCCTCTCGTTGCCAAATCAATGGTGGTCATGCGCGAATATGTAGTGGAATTTGGAGTTCAAAGTGATTAGTGGTTTTGGTCGAATATTTTCTAATTGAATATTGAATAGTTTCTCCAAGCCTTTCACTACAGTTTCACCAGGAATGGAAACCCAGCTAAACTTGTGAAGCTACTAATTACTACTAAAAATTACTAAAAGAACTAATCTTTAATCTAGCAATATTTATTGACTGTGACCTCTGAAAGAGTGATGCCTTGCGAGGGCAAGTAAATGTTGGATTCGACATACAATTAAACCTATAGAGATGCCATGCTATGCCTAATTGAGGTGATTTACAAATCTCGCTATATGCAAAAATTCTTCAATATTGAATTTGAAAAAGAAGGATTATGAATGATGAACACAGGTTGTCAGGGCATCTCTCCCTAAAATACTCTTGCATAACAGGCACAGTTTTATTTTTAAAAGTTTTACTGCAATCTAGATGCCAACATTCACAAAATTGTTGTTTCATTTTAAATACATCATGCACACACGTGCACCATCCCGCTTTTAAAGCGTGCTTTTCTCCCAAGCACACAATTGCGATATTCTTACTGTTCCAAGCGTTGATCGCTACGGCTTACCTTGTTGAGTGTGTTTCTTACCGAGCACCGGTGCACTACAAAGAAGCAACACCCGCGGAGCTCGCTTCCGCAAGTGTTGCTTCTCTGCAGTGCACCCGTGCTCGGTAAGGAGTGTGCTCAACGAGGCTAACCTGCCGCAATCAACACTTCGAAAAATATGAATATCACAGTTCATCTTGAAGCGAATATCGAATATTAGCATGAGACTAATCAATGGTGCTCGTTTCCTGCAGCGTGTCCCATCGACAGGTGGGGTGACAGCTGCAGCCAGAAATGCAAGTGTCAAAACGGTGGCGAGTGCAACTCTGTCACCGGAACCTGCCTCTGCATGCCAGGGTGGCAGGGCGACAACTGCACCATTCGTAAGTCATTTTCTTCAGGAATGTGTGCAGTGCCCACATTTGGGCCACTCTCCATGTTTATTTACACAGCTTATTTATTTAGCTTAACCTGCAGTGCCCAGAGGCATTATTGCAGGGGAGTGATAGAGGTATGAAGAAATCAACTCGCAGATAACTACAGTGGCAGCCCTCAATCCCACCCAACTCCTGCTAGTTTCGACATGGATGGGTGCTATATTGCCGCACAGTCACTGGTGTATTTTTTGGTCAGCAGCACTAATACTGTACTGGCTAAATTTTATCTATATAGCGGTGAGACTAATCATCATTTTAATGCAGTCAAGCTAGTCAAGCTGTCTTAACCTCCATACAGCAATGGCCACCATGTGTCAAGAATGTGTGAGGACATCGATGAACCTATATTTGATTTTGTCCAGCATGCAATGTACAAAGTTATCGCTATCTTCATGGGGAAGGATATGTTGCTTGTAAGACGTGATGGCATAACTGTGGTTTTGGTAATTGACTTGACTAGTATCAAGATCTGGAAATTCTCAGCACCCATGCGTGTGCCAATGCACTGGCTCGGTAATTAGTCATCATAACAAAAGCTCAAAAAGGAAACCTGTTAAATTTTTTTGGAACTGTGATATTTCTGACTTTTTTCATGGGACAAAATGAACACTAAGAGCCAAGGTATAATGAATGAACTTGGATATGTCCTTGGTACAAATTAGTGGAATAATTTCGGAAGAAATAAACAAAGTCGGCTTCCCATTCAAACCTTTTAAGAGGGTATGAAGGGACACACTGTGCTGCAGCTTCATTTTAGGCTAGAAAACAAGTTATATAAAATATCCAGTCAGGTATGGTTGTTGCTTCCAGCTATTGCATCAGGTGTCTGTACTAACTCACAGTTCATTTCTTTTGTGAATTACTGCAGCCTGCACTAACGGAACCTATGGCTTCAACTGCACCCAGAAGTGCACCTGTCAGAACGGGGGCCTGTGCCGTGCAAGCGACGGCAAATGCCGGTGCAAGCATGGATGGATGGGCTCCCGCTGTACAGAGAGTAGGTGCTTTATTCGTGGGCAATATGTAGTCTCCACTCATGACTCGGCCATTCTGTTAATTCAATAATCAGAAATGTGTATGTTGATTGTATTGCTTATGCTTATGCTTAAGGCGCTTGAAGTAGGCAAACACTCACACTTTGCTGAGAGAGGGAGAGATGTCAAAGCACCTTGAACCCTTGTTTCCATTTTTCTTTAAAAAAGACAGTTTTCCATTTTTTATGTTTTATGCCTTTGACTCCACGGAATCAGCTCCGTGACTGTCTCCTTCCTGTTGACACTTGTTACGCCCTGGTCCCACTAGAGCGTCAATCAAAAACAACCGACACCAAAAAGCAGCAAGCACATGCAGCATGCACGCGAAGGACTGCAAGCCCCTTGAGGGGCTTGAAGTCTCTGAGTGCTTGTGAAGTAAGCACCAGTGATTGCAAGCCTGCGAAATATACCTTCGGGTGCTTGCTGCTTGTTCCTGTCGGTTGTTTCTGTTAGTCGCTTTAGTGGGACTCGGCCATTTGGGAAAGACAGGGATGGAACAGCTGCGCAAATTGCGCCATTGTGCACCTAATGACTTTTCATGCGCCACATTGATACAAAAGTATAAATAAGAACGAAATTGCACCAAGCTGCGCCCAAACTGATATTAGCCTCGTCGAAATTAGCTGTCTCACAGTTTCTGTTGGCAACATTGATATCGGAACTTCCGGCCCAAAGGGAACGCCAATGGGTCCATATCCGAATTTGAAGCTTTGTATCCGAAGGTTGCTGCCATGGTTATACAGTCGAACCTCGATTTAACGAAACCCGATTTTACAAATTTCCCGATTTAACAAACAAATTCGGATTCCCCGCGTAGCCTATGTGCGAGGTCTCCCTTCCTCGATCTTACGAAGGTCCCGATTTAACGAAGTAATTAGCAGGCCCCGGTGACTTTGTTAAATCGAGGTTCAACTGTACTTGTTTCAGCTTAAAACAGTTGTTACAGCATCCCTCATTGCGATGCTTCTGCTACCAGACCTTTGAAGCCATTTGCTGTTGCTCTGCTTCGTCTAAGTCCACACACAGATGATGCTACAAGCGCAAACTTTGGGCTTTCAGCATCCTTGCCAAGAAGTGCGCTCGTGCAGTGCAAGCACTGTTCAAGCCCACATGCTGGCGCTTGTAGCACCGGCTGCGTCTGGACATAAGCTGAAACGAAGTATAGCTGCTGTTGCTCTTCGCTTTTCTGGAGTCCTGGAGTCACTTCATCCGAACAGTGGAGCAAACAGAGCTGCCATATTACGATGTATTAGAATATGGGGTAGTGTTTGGACCGGTGTGACTTGACAATGGGAACTTGTGAGGCAGTGCGTGTAGACAAAAATTATGGCGCTGCAGTTGACAGGGCAATAGAAGTCGCTGCAGTCTGCACGAGCCGCCACATGTCCATGTGCACACAGTGCACGTGCACAACCCACCTTACCGACCCTAGTGCCGATGCACCGGCGTCGACACCTATTGCAATCTACGCCACATGCCTCACACAAGTCGTTCCGATCCCAAAACTACCTCGTATTCTAGTACACTGTAGCCTATTGCACTTGACTCATATGTATTTAAGTTGGCGTGCCTCCCTCTTGGCTGTACTTGCGAGACTATAGACGTTTCCACTGTTTACAAAAATCACAGTCCACATGTGCAAAATTACAGTCCAGCCAGTGCTGGCTCGCAATTGCAGCCAGCCCAAAACACAGCAATGAAAGGGCTCCAATACACTTTTATAGAAGTTTGTTTATATTTACCTCTTTGCAAGTCGGCTCCCTCACGTGTCACACTGTCGTGCAGTTTTGCTTAATATGTTTTGTGTAATTTTATTTAATTTCATGAAAAAAATGTTTTAAATAAAATATTAATTCAAACCTACCGTTAGGCTTCACATGGAGTTATCTGCACGCCATATTTCCTTGAGCTTTGAAAACCAGGTGACATTTATCCTCTATTTTAACATCCTTAAAACTTGTATGCTGCTCCCAACTTGCTCCAAGACCTCGTATTTGCTGCTTCCAGCCTGCTCCAAACTAGTTTTTTTTCTCTCCCAAGATTGCTCCAAAGCTGGTTCGCCCAGTTCCATCCCTGGAAAGGGATAGGGAAAGCCATTGTGCAGAAATTTGTAGCATATCTCCATATTTTATTTTATTTGATCTTATTACGCTTTCCTTTTTTTGTACCACGCCCACTGGCCATCAATCACGCTTGATCAATGGTTTCCACGCGCCGCCAAAATTCGAATTTGGTGCGCAGAAATGCGTTGCTTCATCTCGTGGATAACTGAACAGCATCTTGGACTTCAATTTCGTTTTGCGCTTTCCCGCAAGCTGTCGGAAGCAAATGTGCGCGACAGTGGCACTTGTCAAGCATGGCGTCCTGCTAGCATTCAGGACTGCTACAAAGGTAGCCTCAATCTCTGCTTGTCTTTTGTATGACAGCAGTAGTGAAGACTGTAGATGATGTAGGATAATTTGATCTGAGCTCCTACAGCGAAATTTCATCTCCTAGGTGCAGAGTATCGACAAGTCCTTGTGGGGGAGCGTCATTCTAGTTTTCTAGGCCATCCTGAGCCGGGGCTTACGTTTTATTTATGCTGAGAGTTGTAAAAACACCAGCAGAGGAGAAGCTAGAGCGGTGCTATGACAAACCAAGGTTTCCTACAAAAAAATATCTTTTTTTTCTGGAGGGCATACACCTCAGCATGCAACAGCACATCTGAATGGCATGACACCATGGAGGCGCACCTGCCAACGGACCAAAAAAAGACAATATCACTTGGAGTTCTCTAACTTAAGGAAGTGTTAGTGGTGTGTATGGCACACACATCGTGTATTTACATTTTTTTTCTTTTAATGATAGTGCGATTTAATATACAGTCAAACGCCGCTACAATGAACGCTTCTACAAAGAAATAGCCAGTACAACGGTCTATTTCATTGCTTATCTGCTTTATTGGGGTCATTAAAGTGCGCGACGGATATAACGAAGTGACGTGTATAATGAAGAATTGTCGCGGTCCCACATGCTTCGTTATACAGGCGTTGGACTGTAGTTTCTAATAATTATACTTTTTGTTCAAATTTTGGCACAAATTCCAGGTTCAACATTTAAATTTGACGTTTTTTCAGACATTAGCGTAAACTTTCTTTTCTTTCAAAGAGCAACTTAGTGGCTACACTTAGATGTATCATAATTATCCATATGCTGAGCAATTCCTGAAGTACAATTTTTTGTTTTGTCCATCGCTAAAAAATCACCACTTTTCCCCATGGTATGAAAAAAGTTAAGTCACCCATTTCTGGGCCTTCTAGACATTCATTTGTACACATGCGCAACAAATTCCATCGCTTCCCATTGATGTTAAGTTGAGTGGTTCTGAAGCGAGTACTTCATTATTCTGCAGGGAAGCAGACCACTGACTCTTGAGTTACTACTAATTAATTTATATTTGCAAGCTCAATATTTTGCGAGATTTACAGGGTGTGGATTTCGAGAATATTTTGTGGTTGTGGGTGGTATGCCATGTATTTGTTACCACAGGGTCATATATTCTCATAGTGATCTATTTTCCCAGTATTCTTCAAGTTTTGAAACTTACAAAAATTAGGTCCTTGCCAAAATTGAGCCGTTTACAGTCATGACTGTGATTTGGTATTCCAGTTTAGCAGCCAGAAAATAGGGTTTGAAGGCATTTTTGGAAATCAGATAGAATTAAAGAGCATTTGGCTCATTCACCCGGCCTAGTAGTACTCGCACCTGAAAACCTCCGTAAAATTTTAGTATGCAGTTGTTGGGTTGTTTTTCACTGCTTGTCATTTCAGTTTGTGCAGAGGGATTCTACGGAGACCACTGCATGCAGACTTGCAACTGCAAGGAGAACTTTGTCTGTAGCCCCATCTCAGGTTGTGTGTGTCGCTACGGTTTCACTGGAGAGTACTGCAACATCCGTAAGTACACAAGTTTTGTCATCTTTTAAAAATAAGATTGAGGCATGACTGTTAACCCAGATTCCTGGGTTTTCACATTATTTTTTTATGACTAAAAAGCTACAGTGTGCTTATTAGTGTATTTGAATCGTACGTGGCATCACACTTAGCTGTTTGCACTGCATTATGGGATTTTTTGGTCCCACTGACGCCGGATTTTCTGCGACACGGGCTCCTAAACACTATCGCATTAAAATGCAAAGGCAGTGAAGACCATCTTTTCATTTTATTTTTCTTGGGTATTTTTTGGCAATAAAGGGGACACTGACAGGGTATTTATGCTTGCCAAGGATTTTATTTGTACATGACACATGAGAGCCCAACTACCCAGAACAAAATTTGCAGCTCAAAATTTGTTTTCTTTTCCGCTTGAAAACCACTGATCGAGAACTGGCCGGTTTGAGTTGCGCCCACTCTCTTCTTGGTGGTCACGTGCCATTTTCTATGATTTAGACACAACTACCAAATATAATCAGTCAGGGGTCATCGAAAACACACGCTCAATATTAAATATAGAAAAATAAATTATACCTATTTTTTGTGGCTTCTAAAAAACTGCATTTAAGTTGATTAAAAAAAAAAAAAATTTTGCACAGCTGTGTGTTTTCTGGCAATGCTATTTTCCTCTATATGTTTCTTCTTCCTTTGTGATGAGCAAACACTAGGACGAAGGCCTAGTGTTTGCTCATCCTGTGGGTCCGGACAGCCACTAACACACTCTGGTGCCTGTCATCAAGGCCTTTGCTGCCGCTCGGGTCGGGAAGGATACGAGGGCGAGGAGGCGAAGCCTCTTTACGTGAGCCGAACCTGTCCAGTCCAGTTTTACTTTCGGTCTCGAGCAGCTGTGTTTTTTTACTTTATTAAAAATATACATGATGCTGTATCAAATTATTGATTGGATAGTCTTCTGACACCATGTTAAAATGCCTGGCAAAACATCAAAAATATATTTTTGGGGGGTGTCAGTTTCTCTTTGAGACAGTCACGTATCCAGGGGAGGGCCCATGGGGTCTGCCCTCCCCCGACATCTTTCATTTTGCTGGGGCTTCCTCTTCCCCCTCTGCCTCATGCAGCATTTTATCATAGGCGGCCCCCCCCCCCCCCACCCAAATCAAAATCCTGGCTACATGCCTGCTTTAAGGTTTTGAGACGTCGTCCTGTCTATTTTCTGTCCCTTCTACGTTTTGATGTTTCTTCTCTACCCCAGTCTTGGGTTAATTCAACATGGTTAATATCAGCAAACAGTTTTTGTTTTTTGAGCTTTCTGTTTTAGTCAATTATCTATCTTAGCACTTACGTTTGCAAGTCATTTCGTGCTGTAGCACGTCCTACCAGGATGTTTGGGCATGTAAAAGATACCTTTCTCGCACTGCGCAGTTATTCTTAGCAGCTTGAACATATCTTCTTTTTTTTTAAAATAAATATGCTGAATTTGGGAACATCCTTAAATGTAAACAATGTATGTCGGGGAGTGACAACAAAAGTAGCGCAAGACATTAAATAGTAACTAATGCGACACTGCGCTAATGAATACCAAAAGAACATTCACAGATCTACAAACCACGGTCTCAGAAAGCTTCCTCATATAACTCTAAATATTTATCTTCCCTTAATTTGCATTGAAACAAATCTTTTTTGCAGTATTGTAGAACCCCTTCGCTAGGATCTCTGCAGCCAGATCTCTAGACAGTGCATTGATTCTATCATTCATCTCTGCCTCCATTTCCCCCAACAGGACTGGTCGACAGAAGCGTGATGTACATTGAGGAAGAGCCCAAGTCAAATTCGGGCATCGTTGCCGGAACCATTGTTGCCATACTGCTTGTGGTCGTGATTGTCATCTGTATCGTCTTCTACTACAGAAGAAGGGTCAGCCATCTCAAGAATGAACTCGCCTATGTGACGTGAGTGGGATTTCATTGCCCCGTTGCTTTACTACATCACCAACATAACTGATTTCTCAAAGCAGTTCTGAAAGCATGCCTGGTTTGAGAAAGTGCACTTACGCTTACCCGCAACACATTTCATCTTGCAGGTATACAGCAGACGTCCGGCCGTCTCCAGGTATGTTATCTGATTGTGCGCTTTCGTGCATGCCGCTTTAACAGGTTCAGCATTCTCCTTGTTTCTGCACGTCTGCACGCAGTTCTCCTTGGTTTAGTGATTTACCACTTGGTGTTGTTGTATGGGTGTTTGTAGATCGGCGTCACTTTGACAACCCTGTCTATGCTTTCCAAGCTGTTCAATTGGATGGTGCACTCAACAATGCGTCTGGAGCATCTAACATCAAGCAGATTCATAACGACCTAAACTGCACCAAGAGTAACATTGAAAAGGCAAAGCTGGGATACTGCGAAGATGATCAGGACATGCAAAGCTTGAAAGGTAACTGGTGCTAGCTTGACATTCCTTGCCTGCTTGTGATGTGATGGTGTCTCGTTACACTTTGGGTAGCATTGTTGTCATTGCAGCATTAAATGACAATGGGGAAATGCATAGTATGACTAGGCTTCTTTCTGTATTGTATCTTTTTAAGGATCACAGTTGATAATGAGTGATCAATGACTCTGCAATAGATATAGTGACTTGCAGTGCTATTGAAAATCAACTTGCTGATATTGTTTGTTTTTTTAGGGGCTTGTGGTGTGTCCAATGACTATGAAGAGAACCCTACATTGAAGGATTTTGATTTCAAACCAAATATCTACCAGAGCATTGAGGATTTGAAGTGTTATGCTGATAAAAAGGAGCCTTTCTACGATGAAGTGAAAGACAAGAGTGACACCAGTAATGCCAGCACTGCGATTTCGTTGACCACAACTGTGCCTACCAGTACAATGCGTGGTAAGTACTTGCTTGTTGGGCTCTTGAACCTATTCTAAATGTTTTTAACTCGAAAGCAAACATAGCCAGAGACTACCTCCGTGTTAACTTCCTGCTTTCTGGGCTCGCTTTGCAATCAAATGCATCTCTTTTTTTATTCCCTAGTTTTCATGTTTTTGAAAGTTATTGTCATGAGTGTGCAGCTACTGCACTTGGCCTTCAGATATTTGCCTTAATATCCAGAAGTCTTCTTTTTAGCGATGGCATTGAACTGTTATTTGGCATGGAAGCCCTTTCTTTTTGTTCTCTCGCTTTTTTTAACATGCATTCTCCTCCTAACAGAATATAAGTTATTCTGTCTTATAATTCAGTAATCACTAAGCATGATCGAATACCAATGATTCTTTGCCCTTTGTGCAGATGCAGACGCAGATGCTTACGATCACTTGGAGTACAACAGGCCAAAGACGGAAGCGAAACCAAACTACTTCAGACTCGACAGCACTCTCTCCAAAAAGAAGACTTAGCGCGATGGACGTCAGTGACGTTCCTCTCACTGGTACTACCGGTGGCTTGTGGGAGCATGTGTGGTTTCTGTCAAGAACTGTGATTTTTAACCTCCTGGATTCCTGGGAGCCTCAAAACCAGAACTTTGGCTCTCATTGCTCCAATTGTCTTCCCCCAAGATTCAGAACTATGACTTTCTTCTTTAGTGAAGTCCAGCAGCAGAGTTCAGCAACAAGCAGACTTTCACTTTATGCTTTGTAGTGGCCGTTCTTCCACCCATCAAGTTAGCGCTGGACAGTTTCATGGTCTTTTGTGATACCCTCACCTATCGTGTGTATATTGTGAGATTGTTTATATTTCCGAGTAGTCACGATTTTATTTTGATCTTTATTTTGATGTGGTATTATGATTGTCTCAGTTTGTTGAGAGATCTCCGAGTCTGAGTGGCATGTGCATGTATTAGTGCTGACAATTGTTAGCACAAACTGGCTGGCCAGTTATGTTTTTTCTTAAGAGCAATGCATTTTTAATTTAATTTAATGACGTTCAAGCTGCCAGTGAAACCACCTGTTGTTCTTACTGAGCAAATATTCACAACTGAAGCATTCTTTCGTTCTGACTGCTTTTTGGAAGAACTGAACAGGTAAGGAAAGGGGTGCATAGTTTATTCTGAAAACGTGATTATTTTTGTCTGTAAATATTTATACTTACTAGTATAGTCCAGACATCTGAGTATATCTAAAAAAGCTCTATGATTTCTATCCACAAAACATAGTATTTAGATTGAACTTCTTATGAAAACAGTTTGAGTCACAATTCCACCAGGTACTGTACAAAACTGTATATAATTCCTCTCTGTATGGAAGTAGATAATAAAAAATATAGATCTTGAGCTTGTGTCATTTTCAGTTAACCTAGGATTCTTACGGCATTCAGTTCTGCAGAAACAACATATGTGAGGGGGCAAGCAGCATCGCCAGCTTGCGGGATTGAGCGTGACTGGGTTCGAGATTCAAGCTCTTGGTGGCGCGCTCCGAGGATAGCTGGAGCAACCGCTGTTTGGACAATCGCGGTTTGCTTTGCAAACGACATAAACCACCCTCACATTTTGATGGAGGTCAGCCCAGCACTCTCCCGTAACTCCTCATTTCGCCAGTCCAGGATGACGACGACAAGCTTCTACCAACCTGAAGCTCCGAGCCCGTACTCTGCCGGTTCCTACTGCGATGGCGACGTCAGCTCAATTCCCAACATGCATCTCGTCGTCTGTGATCTCACAACCTATCACCTATCTACAAACCCTAACCACAATGGTGATGACAGTCTTGGTACGTGATGCAATGGTCATCTTCTAAGGAGCAACACATGCTGCCACAGGAATTCCATCCCAACCATTTTTTGGATGCACGTCCTCCCAACAACAAGACCCCAGAACCTTTTTTAGCATCGGTGACGAAGACATTGAGGAATGGGCTGACTTCTACACCAGGGTGAGCCTGCACAATCGGTTGGATTACTGTACGAAACTGGAAATTGTTGTGTTCTACCTCACTGACGTTGCGAAAACGTGGTTTTTAAACCACGAAGCTGAAATGACATTGTGGCAGGCCTTCTCACATTTACACGAGGTCTTTGGATGCCCAGAAGATAGATGCTCGCAGGAGATTGAATGTCCACATCTAGTTACCATCAGAGGGCTACACTTCCCACATCGAAGGCATTTTGACTTTGTGTAGTAAATTCGATGCCAACATGGGCGAAGCAGACCGTACTCGGCACGTGCTACAAGGCATCGCGGAAGGGGTCGTTTACCTCTTTGTACTCCAATCCCCATCAGTTTTTAATTCCATCCGGATTCTCTGCCAAGCACTGGAAGCTGCAAGACGTCGAAAGTCTCCCCTGTTGACACTTCGTTCGGCGTCGCCCCTGCACCATCTCCACTACCACAGGTCGACACTTTAAGAGGATACTACAACGAAATTTCGGCGCTCATTTTTTTGTCTAAATTTGTTCAAAGGAGCCGTATCACATCGAACACACGAATATGTTGTTAAAAAGTCACGAAAAGGAATTTTAAAACAAATTAAACGATTAGCAAAGAGCACCTGGTGGATGTCGCTAACACCTCGTTTGTAATGCCCGTCTAGGAACCTTGACAGGTAGTGACTGTAACTAGGGAGTTTTAGTAGACCGTTTTCTTGCAGCCGCTCTGCAGAGCGGAGCGCGGAAACGCCACTACGCATGCGCGACCTCGCTCTGGGTCGAGCGTGGTTACCGTATTCAGCGTCCCCTTTCGCTCTCGACGGCGCAGAGCGGAGTGGACCGAGCGTACGCTATCAGATCCGCTTCCCAAGAATGGCTGCGTGCAGTGTGTCTGGGACGTTTGGAATCGCGCCGTCAAGAAAGTGGTTCCGCTAGTTTAGGATCTCCCGCTGCTTCGGGATATCACCGCTCGGAACCCTTACGGAGAGCCTCAACGATGGGCGGATATCCTAAGGAAGCTGATCGCAGCCACCGGGCGCGATCAGCCTTCAAGTTCAGCTGGCGGGAGGTTTTCGATTTCTCGCCAGCTCAACTCTTCTAGTTAGAGTTTGTTCTTGAGAAAACTTCGACGCTCCATCGGGGACAGCACTTCTCAGCGACACCAGATTCGACGACGACGCAGCCCAAAACCTCGTACTCCTAAGCTCGTACTTGCGCGTTTGCCGGCTAGCCTTGCTTTTTAGCTCGGAATGCGTTGGCTACGAAAGAGTAGAGAGCAACGATTTCAGGGTATCTCAATACAGCAAACCGCCTCTGGATGAAAAAAAAAAACAACAAAAAACAGCAAAAGTACAGACACATGTTTTAACTGAGACTACGAGCGCGTTGCTAATGAAAAAACTTGATAATGTGGATGCTTGGGCTCTTGGATGTCCGCACTATTCTTTTTTATTTTTTCATTTTTTCATTTGTAATTAGAACAGCCGCTCGAGGCGCTGGGCACGTCGCCATTTCGTATTATTTCGCGCGCTTTCATAACGCTCCTGGTTAGAAGAAAGACGGTATACTATAACCGATTCAGGAACTCCGCTCGACACATTAGCAGAGCGGACCGCGCGTGCGCAGTTCTACGGGCGCAGAGCGGAGCGGAAAAGTCAAAACGGCCTATTAAAACTCGCTAGTGGGGAATTTTAGTAGACCGTGTTTCCCTCCGCTACGAAGAAACCGCCACTGCGCCTGCGGGGCCGATGGCCTTGGCTGTAGAGTTCCGGGTAGCGGAGGGGCTTAGCGGGGAAGGAGGAACTTCCCTCTTCTTGAGAATCCGTTTTGTGTGTCCCAGAACTCGCTATTGTCCCTCTACAAGATTATAGAAGATTAACCCGTCACTCAAAATTCACACAAAAGCAGCCGCTTCGGTGGCTGGAACGACTAGGCCATCCTCTCTACGTCAGCCTCGCCGTAGCTTTGCTCGTCCCGAGACGAACTACGTCACGATTGCTTTGGATGTCACGTGCTCTCCGCTGGCTGTTCTCATCGCGTTTGCCAGAGTGGGCCGTTTATACCGAAAAATTCAGCCACCAGACTCAAAATACAAACGTGCGATTGTCATTTACGGATATTGCGGATCATATTCAATCTATTTTTGAACACGACGGGTATACTTCAAATTTCGTTGAAGTATCCCTTTAAAACTACTGATCTGAACTATCGTGCACGAAGATCTAGCAGGCTATTTCCAAGCCCCTCCGGCAACTCCGCTCACCAGTCCAGATTTTCGCTCTATCATGTGTGAAGAAATTACTCAAGCTTCCCCGCTTCCAACGGCGTTTGCTTCACATCCACCAACCACAGACATCCTCCGCCACCCGCCACCCCCAGTGGTTACCACCACCTCGTCTATTCACTCCGTGCGACCTCTGCGTGCGACGCGACTGGCGCGCCGCCGCGCGGCCGGTACCGAAGTTAGGCAGTGAGAACCCCAGAGAAAACGAAACCGAAACCACGCCGCGTACATTGGTACGCATTGAAGTCGGAGTGGTGCGGTTGCGCTGGGTTCACAGCATGAAGTGCTGCCTGTGCTGCGTTATTAAGTGCTTCAATAGTTATGCGTCGTATCTCGTGGAGACAAAGTTTCACAGTTTTTCACCTGGTCGATATTTTGTAAGACAGCGACAACGATGGAGCCGTGCCGTACGACGCGAGAAATTTGGTCTCCCGATCGTGACTGCCACTGTGTCGGCACTGCTGACATACTCTACACTGCCGCTTTGCGCTCTGCGTTTGTTTTCGTACCAGTGACGCGTACATGTGTCAGCGCCGATGGGACGAACTGAAACGCCATCCCACACTCGCGGATATGCAGTGCCAATTTCGTTAGAGGAATGCCCTCCAAAGAAGTTTCGTCCCCATCGTACGTGTCGATGATATTTCCGGACAAGTATGGCACGCAATCTGTACTTCATGAAGAAAGATTCTAACGGTAAAAAAAGTGACAAATATAAATCTAAAGAAAACAACAATGAAACTCGGAATCACTGGAGACTCGACGTTTGAATATGGACGTTTATGTGGTGTGCTTTCTTTCTTGATCAGCCTCTTTTTGGATGTGGAAACGCTGACACCACGAGCTCTGCAGACAACAATTTTTTTTTCTCGGCTTTAGAGCCACCTATCGGAAAGTGGTTCGAACGGGAAGTACCGTCCTCTGGTCCTTTCCTAAATGTGAAGCGTGCACCTCCCATGAGGAGTGGTATTATCTGACAGCCTTTGACGGTCAAAGCAAGTTCCCATTTAGTTACGCCGCCCAAACTAAATTTTCACCTGGTTTCTCTATGCCAACTCTTTTTGTTATAATAAGTTTTGTGCCAAGTGACGGTCATGTCAAAGTACCTGTGTGCCGAAAATCACCACCTCGCACAACCAGATTACTACACAACAGCTGACCGCAAAAGCCCTTGGCGGCCAAACCGTGTGTTGGCCGACAACTTTGTTTTCTCGGCTTTGGAACCACCTTTCGTAAAGTTGTTTCAATTGGAAGTACAGTCCACTAGTCCCTTCCTACCTCTAAAGTCTCCACCTCCCCCGACCAGTGGTATTCTCTTGACAGCCTTTTCATGGTCAAAACCGGTTCCCATTGAGTTACGCCACCCAAACCAAATTTTCACTTGGTTTCCCTATGCCACCTTTTTGTTTTTTGTATATTAAGTGCTGTGCCATGTTACTGTCAAGTCGAAGCACCTGTGTGCCCAAATCTGCACTTTGCACAGCCCGCTATAACACAACATTTTGGGTCTAATATTTGATATCCCGTACATCTTTATTTCTTTATTCGTTAGAAACATAACTTTCACACCTGCTGTCTTAAAGAAACTTGGCACTCTTCGTGCGCAAACTTAGTGAACATCTCACTCGCCTCCAAATATCATCGTTCCAGCAGTCATAGGTTTACAGCGACGAGCGAAATAAATTTTCCACTTAGAGCAATTATGGTGGCGGCCGTCTTGTTTTTCGGAAAATTGCTCCAACTCCTTTTTCGGCCGCAACAAGAGAAATTACCCCTAATAACGACTCAAACTCAATATATAAGAAGTGGAGAACAGCTAAATGCCCTTCTGCCCCAGCATTCATGCAACGTCACCCTCAACGTATCGGCTCAAAAAGCAAAAGTTTCGTCCGTGCGCGCTTCCGCCGCCACAGCTTGCCACGTGAAAAGGCGCCGCAGGCTGCTGAACGCGCCTCACAGTCGAACGCCAGCTCCTCCGCTAGCGGCGCTGCGCGCGTTTTTCACAGCGCCCCCTATAGTTCCCGCACGGAGTGTATACCTTCCCCACCTGCCGCTGCAGCCTTTACATCGGAGCCTTTCCCACGGCAGCAATACCGGACACTCGCGAACTGCTCGATTTGTTTCCA